AACAGCTGTTACACCTTCCATTGTTTGACAGGGTCCCATGAAACCTACCTGGAAGTTTACGGAGCTCTCATTTCCTTAGATGGAAGAAACTGCATTTAGAAGAAACTCACAAGGGACTTAGAAACTCAAGGAAATAGCACAGGCCAGGCAGTTAAAAAATAAAGCAAGAAAAGGTGGACATAAATAAAAAGCTGCTGGCAGAGCTGGGTGCTATAGTGCTTCATTATCGTTTCCCAGGGAGAAACAATTCTGTGTGGCAGGTCAGAGTTGAAGAAGGAAGAGAAGGCAGGTTGCTCTGACTGTCATCCCATGAGTATGCACGTGTCATCTTGATTTAAAATTAACATCAGTTGGGGAGATTAACTTATAAGTTACACAGTGCTTTATACTAATCAAAATATGTGAAGAAAATTAACACAAAGTCTTTAGTTCTCCTCAAGGGAGACACTTTTTAGTGTTGTTTCCAGTTGATTTAGCTTTTAAATGAGTAAGGTTATAATTGGTAATTAAGCTGGCTGCATTTTGGGCATACAAATGAAGATGAAAAGTAGAATTCCAGCTTCTGAGGGGAAAATGAGAGTAAGCATATGGGAAGCAAACGAGGCTAATATGACACAATTCACAGCTTCATTAACATCAGCATGCAAGTCAGGCAGGCTCCCCTTGATGTTAACTCTACACTTGCTGAGCTTGATCATGAAATGACAAGTTCTGTAACAAGCCTAAAGAAAACAGAGGTAAAGCATAGTTACTAGATAGAAAATGCCTAAAGGGAAAATACCCACCAGCCTCACTCATACTCTGAACTGCAAAGATGAGCCAGAGTCACACTACTGAGATATGGAAGATCTGGAACATTCCAAAGTTGACACGACACATGAATCCAGGTTGTGACTGCTACAGTTATAAAGCAGCCTTGGATATCACTATTTCTTCCATTTTGTACAATAAAACATTTTCATTTTCTGCCATTGGCCAAACTTTCTATATTAACACACTAATAGAGAACCCAGATGATTCGCAGCGAGAAAGAGGAAGTTTCCATACATCCAAGTTAGAGAGCATGTGAAAAACTGAGGATAACAGCTCAATAAACTGCTGCCCTTTGGGCAAAAACCCACTGAAATGAATAGGAATCTTTCCACTGAATTCGTGAGGGTTTATGTGAGTGGGCTGAATGGGTATCTGGCAGCACCAAATTTCAGATACTCACAACAGAAGTCTCTTCCCAACAGTGGACTGTGATTTTCACTTTCTTCTAGCTGTATCTTACTAGTCCTTCCAACTATGTTCTAATAATTTTGGTTCCTCCTACCTCTATTCAGTCAGGTGGTCCACTCTAGATTTAGGTATTAATGTCTTTTGGGTGTTTTTCCCAGTGTCAGCAGTCAGGAACAGCTGCATTCTGGATTCCACACAGGCAAAACTTACAGAAATTTAGAAGAAAAACATAGTACCTGAGCCTCTTCCACACCCAGTAATAATTTGATTTTTCTTATGAAATAGATTGCTAAATGCTTAAGATCCAGAAAATCTGCAGGTCAACAATCTTTTTCTGCTGGGTTTTTTATAGCTTGTACAAAAATATGCCCTAGATAAATGTATCAGGAAGGACAATGAGTGAGTGAACTAGATTTTTTAAAAAGCTCTAACCAGAAATATTAAAACCTGCCAGAGCACCTGGCCAGAGGTCTGAATCCTGTATGTCTTGTGAATACAAACAGCATCTAAGTAAGCCTGCACTGAAAAGTAAGAGAAGTTTCATTCAGATTTTTCTCACACTCCTCAAGATTTCATCAAACTTGTTACCTTTCCCTTCAAAAAAAAAATAAAAAATCATCAGTGCAAGAGCAAGTGGGCAGGTAGCGTAAGGGAGCCAGAGAAAACGTCTTCTCTCCAGACACGTTTGTGTTTGGTTTTTGCAGCCAGGGTCCTTGGCTGGCACAAAACTGACTTTCAATTACTTGATGCTTCACCACTGTGATGTAAGAGGTAGCCTTGAGGGTTGCAGATAAAGTTAACAAGTTAATAAATATGCTGCCAAAAGATACATCTGGTAATTTTATGCTTCAAATTAGATGTTGATTTGGGAGGTCACATACCATTTTACTGAAAAAGAGCCAGAGCTGCATGCTAGTTACTGTACAGCTTGCTCAAGTAGGTCAGCACTACTGTGCTATTGCAGTGGTGTCTACCTTTTTGGTTGCCGTAGTCCATAGAGTATAGCTTTTTTTTACTGAAATATATCTTTATATGTGACTTTATTTAACAACAAATGCTCCTATTCTCCATAATAAGTTTTTCCATTTGATACATCGATGGTGATACAGTTCTGTTTTAGAAAACTGATCATTGATGACTGCTGATACATAAATATAACAATTTTACATATATATTAATATTACTTGCTTTACACATTACAAAAGAAACTACATTAAATAATGTAATTAATAATTCTCTTTGCATAAATATATTTCTATTTTCCCCATATCAATATATAGCTATCAGACTAATATCGAACTAATACCAATAATCAATAGAATTAGATCATGTAAACATAATTCTTCATTATCCTGGACTCTATGCAAGCATTGATATCAAGGGATGTAAACATTAAATTTAAATGGTATATTGGGTACTCACTCATTGTGCTGACAGGGCCTTTGGCACAGGGCAATGAAAAACACCTCTCCAGTATTGTTAATACTCATTTTTGTAGATTGCCTAATATTTATTAGTTTTTTGTTAATATTTATAAGGCAGCAAGTATGTTATGATGACTAGACAAGCAAGATTTGAACACTCTTAAAGTCATGGGGATTTTTTAGTTTAAGTCGTTTGCTTGGGTTCAATGCACAAGTAACTGAAATTATCATAATTTTTGACACACTGAATCCACCCAAAAATATCCAGAAGCTAAAAATAGGCATGTTAGGTCAGAAACAAATTGCATGCTGTTAACAGTGATAATCATTAATCATTGGCCCGTTTACTAAGTGATACTTCCCTATAATAATGGGGAAATGCCTATCTTAGTAAAAATTTAAGGTCATTCTAAAGCCCACAGCTGCAGCAACACCACAATACATATGTCTAATGTCATGGTTTAAGCCCTGTCGGCAAGTCAGACACGCAGTTTCTACTCCCCACCACTCTTTCTTCCCTTCCCGCCTCCTTGCCCTGCTTCCGGAGGGATGGGGAGGAATGTAACTCCCCACGGGTTGAGATAAGAACAGTCCAGTAACTAAGGTATAACACAAACCACTACTGCTACCACCAATAATAATAATGATAAGAGAAATGATACCACCCATCGAAATGAGCCTGACCAAGCAGTGAGTGCCCTTCTGGGTAACTCCCAGTTATCCCCCCCGGGCATGACGTTCTGTGGTATGGAATACCTCTTTGGCTAGTTTGGGTCAGGTGTCCTGTCTCTGCTTTCTCCCAGCTTCCCCTCCTCCCTGGCAGAGCATGAGACTCACAAAGTCCTTGGCCAGATCAAACATTTGAGCGTTATCAGCTCTGTTCCCAGGCTGAAAGTCAAAGACAGTGCTGCACCAGCTACTACAAAGGAGAAAAAATGACTGCTACTGCTAAACCCAGGACACCTAAGACCTCTAGGTTTCATTTTCCAGCCTGGGCTATGCATGTCAGACTGGACTGACACAAAAAATGGGAATGACCTATAGCTGATATTTTGCCAATGATGTATTGTTCTCCATATTCCAGTCTGTGCTTTAACGTATTATCTTCCAAAATCACTTGGTATACCAGCATATTAAGCTTGTTAAGTGGTTAAGTAGACATATGAAATTAACTTTGTTTTTCAAATTTTCTCTTCTAAACAAAGTGAGACTTACGTCATCTGGTAATCTATGAGTCCTAGTGGCTTTAGTAGCCCAAAGTATAGTATTTAATATAACATTGGAAGCATGGCATGGTAACCACCAGTGAGAGCATGAAAATAATGCTATAGCTTATAAAACAACTGAGCAATAGTTAAAGTCACAATATCAGAAAAATCCGAGGTAGAAGACAGATGTAATCTTAGGCTTCCCACGGGCACATGATAGATTAGAAGCAACAGTCTGAAGACCAAGTAGCAGATAAACTTGCAGCCAGTACAGCATGGGTGAATTTACGTTATTTATAATGAGATTGTATAATCATATCTAATTATTTCATATAAATTAAGATATTCTTATATTATTAAGACAATATAAGGACAAGTCAATTGCCCCAAGTTTTCCTCTTCCCTTAAACCTATGCATGAACCATGCAGAGGTTCCCAACTGCAGATGCTCAATGTGTGGTCACTGAACTTAGATAAATTAGATCAGATTCTTGACCAGTGAGTAATTTTCTCATCAGTGTTTTACTGAAATAAAAAAAAACCAACAAAATTAATTTACTAAATAACACAACTTTTACTTTACCCTATATCTACTTCTCTTAATTTTTATTTTCATTTTCATTCTAATTTCACAGTCATCTTTTGTTTACATTTCGCAATTAGAAAAGCATGACTATGCCATGTCGTATCTGTAATATACAAATTTTTATTTCTATTATATTGCACAATTGTCATGTGAATTAAAAAAAAACAACAAACAATAATCACCCATTATCATGAGAGCTAGAGTTCTTCAGGGAAAGTTTCCAGAGCACACATTACCTTCTGGGGACCACCAAATCAGAGTGCCTTACCGTGTGTTTGTGAATAGTTATGGTGGTCTGTTCAAAGAATGCATCCGTCTAGTCACCTTCCTTAACCTCTGTTAATAGTTTTTAGCTCTTCCTTCAATTTCAGCCATATTTGGCAGAGAGACAAATGTCTCAACAGTTTTTTGCGAATTTAATGAAAGTGGGCATATAGGCCAGAGAGATTTTAACAGTGTCCCTACACAGGAAAAGAGTGCAGTGTGAAAGGGTAAAACATTTACTGAGTGCTACAGATGTGTGAGGAGAGATGTTTTGAATATCTCAGCCCTAAAACAATCTATCTTCCCCATGACTTTATTCCTTCCTACACACCAGAGTTTATTCACAAGGTACAAATCTGTAGGAAATGTCATTAATACCAGTGCTCAGAGAACTCTGTGCTAATTCCTTTTTCTGGATATTTCCATATGAATGAAGTTTGGCATGCAGTTTGGCAGTAAAAATGGTAGTTAGCAGTCCATCTTTGGTCCAGTTGTAGAAGCAAGTACCTTACCTGAAGAGATCAAAAGTACAATGGAAAAAAAATCAGAATGCTGTTTTAAATATTAAGACATTTTAGGGTTAAAAAGGAAACAGACATAATGCTCATTAAATAGAACCAGCAGGCATCAGATTTGAAATGGGATTAGTTCCCTAATCCTGCTGTGCTGTTTTCATGTACATGGATGGATTAACAAAACAGGTCAGGTTTGATTTTTTTTTCCCCTCATTTCAGTTCAGAACTGTCAGCCACTACTTCTTCCTGACTTTGTGGACTAAAACTTTTAATGAATTCCATCAATGGAAACTAGGTCACTGTCAATATTGAACCTAATACTGACACTGGAGATTAAGGCTCAGCCTGTAGATGGAGTGATGTGTCATTTTAATTTTAATTGAGTAAAAAGTCGCAACTAAACACAGCCTTTACTTCTCATTAAGTTTAATAGAGACAACACACGTATTGGGCAGCTGCATGAGGCATTGCTAGCATTTTCCAGAGGCTGAAGAGTTGAATCAGTAAGGCTGTCATAAATCTAACATGTTCAGGGATGGGGTTAGGAAACCCAACAATCTCATGAGGGATGTGAAGGGCAACAAGAAGAGCTTCTATAGGTACAACAGCAGCAAAAAGACCAGGGAAATTATGGGCCCACTGGCAGGGATTCTCATGAAAAAGAACATGGAAAAGGCCACAGCATGCAATGCCTTGACTACTGGTCTGCAGGAATCCCAGGTCCACCCCATCAATTCCAGGTGGAAAAGTCTGGAGCAAAGAAAACTTAATCCTCAGCAGAAGAGAATCAGGTTAGGAGTTTATAAACAACCTGGATATACTCAAGGCCCTGTAACCTGATGGGATCCACCCAAGACTGCTAATGGAGCTGGCCAACATCACCATAAGGCCACTCTCAATAATCTTTGAAAGGTTGTGGCAAACAGAAGAGGTTTCTGAGAACCAGATGAAGGCAAACATTACCCCTACCCTCAAGAAGGGCCAAAAGGAGCATGACGACAACTACAGGCTTGTCATGCCTTACCAACATGAAGCCTTCTTCCATAAAATAACCAGTTTAGTGAATGAGGGAAAAGCCATGCTCTTCTTTATTTTGACTTGAAGAAGGCTTTCAATATTGCCTCTGATAGTATCCTCATAGAGAAACTGATTAAATATGGACTATATTAATGGGAGCGCATCTTCTGTCACTTTACAGTTGGCACAAAACCAGGAGGCGTGGCTGAGACACAAGAGGGTTGTGCTGCCCTTCGGGTGGTCCTCAACAGACTGAAGAAATGGGTGAGAGGAACCTCATGATATTCAACAGAGAGAAGTACAGACTCCTACACCTCAGGAGGAATAACCCCATGCACTAGTGCAAGCTGGCAATCAACTGGCTGGAAAGAAACTTTGTAGAAAAGTCACTGATGCCTCTATACAAATGCCTGTAGCATGGGGAACAAACAAGAGGAATTAGAGATGTGGGCACGTCTACAGGGGTATGATATAATAGGCATCACAGAAACATGGTGGGATGGCTCCTATGACTGGAGTGCTGGAATGGAAGGTTACAGGCTTTTTAGAAAAGACAGGCATGGCAGGTGGGGAGGGGGAGTTGCCCTTTATGTTAGGGATAGGCTGGAGAGTGTGGAACTCTGTCTGGGGACAGGTGAGCAGTCCACAGAGAGTTTGTGGGTCAGGGTTAAAGGGAATATAGCTATGGGAGACATTACTGTGCGGACTTGTTACAGACCACCTGATCAAGAGGACTCTGTGGATGAAGCACTCTATAGACAGAAAGGAACAGCCTCACGCTCACAGGCCCTTGTTCTCATGGGTGACTTCAACCACCCTGACATCTGTTGGAAGGACGGTACGGCCCGGCACAAGCAATCCAGGAAGTTCCTTGATTGCATGGAAGGCAACTTCCTTCTGCAAGTAATAGAGGAGCCGATAAGGAGAGGTGCCATGCTTGACCTCGTGCTCACCAACAGGTAAGGACTCGTTGGAAATGTGACGCTCCAGGGCAGCCTTGGATGCAGCGATAATGAGATGGTTGGATTTGAAATCCTCAGGACAGTGAGAAGAGCGCGCAGCAAGCTCACTGCCCTGGACTTCAAAAGAGCAGACTTTGGCTTCTTCAGGAACATGCTTAGTAGGGTTTCATGGGATATAGCCCTAGAGGGCAGGGGGGCCCAAGACTCTTGGTTGATATTCAAGGATCACCTGCTACAAGCTTAGGAGTGTTGCATCCCAACCAGAAGGAAGTGCAGCAGGAGGGCCAGGAGACCTCCTTGGATGGATAAGGAGCTGCTGAGGAAAATTCAAATGAAAAAAGAGGCTTATAAAAAGTGGAAGCAAGGACAGGCAACCTGGGAAGAGTACAGGGATGTTGTCCGGGAAGCTAGGGACCAGGTTAGGAAAGCTAAGGCCCAGTTAGAATTAAACTTGGCTAGGGATGTTAAAGATAACAGGAAGGGATTCTACAGGTACATAGCAAATAAAAAACAGACTAGGGAGAAGGTAGGCCTGCTCAGGAAGCTCTTGGGAGAACTGGCTACACAGGATTTGGAGAAGGCTGAGGTTCTGAATGACTTCTTTGCCTCGGTCTTCACTGGCAAAGGCTCCGACAAAACCACCCAAGTCTTGGAAGGCAGACACAGGGACTGTGAGAATGAAGACCTCAGGCACACAGTAGGAGAGGATCTGGTTTGAGACCATCTTAAAAATCTGAACGTGTACAAGTCTGTGGGTCCTGATGAAATCCATCCGTGGGTCATGAAGGAGCTGGAGAATGAAGTTGCGAAGCCACTGGCCATCATATTTGAGAAATCATGGCAGATAGGTGAAGTTCCCGATGACTGGAAAAAGGGAAATAAAACCGCCATTTTCAAGAAGGGGAAAATGGATGACCCAGGAAATTGCAGACCAGCCAGTCTCACCTCTGTGCCTGGCAAAGTCTTGGAGCAGATTCTCCTGGAAGGCATGCTAAGGCACATGAAAATCAACAAGGTGCTTGGTGACAGCCAGCATGGCTTCACTAAGGGGAAATCCTGCCTGAGCAATTTGGTCGCCTTCTATGATGGGGCTACAGAACTGATGGACAGGGGTAGAGCAGCTGATGTCATCTACCTGGACTTGTGCAAAGCATTCGACACTGTCCCACATGACATCCTTGTCTCTAAATTGGAGAGACATCAATTTGATGGATGGACCACTCGGTGGATAAAGAACTGGCTGGCTGGCTGCACACAAAGAGTTGTGGTCAATGGCTTAATGTCCAGCTGGAGACCAGTAACGAGTGGTGTCCCTCAGGGATCGGTGTTGGGACCAGTCTTGTTTAACATCTTCATCGCCGACATGGGCAGTGGGATTGAGTGCGCCCTCAGCAAGTTTGCCAATGACACCAAGCTGTGTGGTTCGGTTGATACCCTGGAGGTAAGGAATGCCATCCAGACGGACCTTGACACACTTGTGAGGTGGGCTGATGCCAACATCATGAAGTTTAACCATGCCAAGTGCAAGGTCCTACACCTGGGTCAGAGCAATCCCAGGCACAGCTACAGGTTGGGCAGAGAAGAGATTCAGAGCAGCCCTGCGGAGAAGGACTTGGGGGTGTTGATTGATGAGAAAATGAACATGAGCCAGCAGTGTGCACTTGCAGCCCAGAAAGCCAACCGTATCCTGGACTGCATCAAAAGGAGCATGACCAGCAGGTCGAAGGAGGTGATCCTGCCCCTTTGCTCTTGTGAGACCTCACCTGGAGTACTGTGTGCAGTTTTGCTGTCCTCAACATAACAAGGCCATGGAACTGTTGGAACAAGTCCAGAGAAGGGCCACGAGGATGATCAGGGGACTGGAGCAACTCCCGTATGAAGACAGGCTGAGGAAGTTGGGGCTGTTCAGGCTGGAGAAAAGAAGGCTGCATGGAGACCTCATAGCAGCCTTCCAGTATCTGAAGAGGGCCTATAGGGATGCTGGGGAGGGACTCTTCATTAGGGACTGTAGTGATAGGACAAGGGGTAATGGGTTCAAACTTAAACAGGGGAAGTTTAGATTGGATATAAGGAGGAAATTCTTTCCTGTTAGGGTGGTGAGGCACTGCAATAGGTTGCCCAGGGAGGTTGTGAATGCTCCATCTCTGGCAGTGTTCAAGACCAGGTTGGACGAGGCCTTGGGTGATATGGTTTAGTGTGAGGTGTCCCTACCCATGGCAGGGGAGTTGTAACTTGATGATCTTAAGGTCCTTTCCAACCCTAACTATTCTATGATTCTATGATTCCATAATGAAAACCTGTTTACTGTGAGGGAGGCTGAACACCGGCACAGGATGTCCAGAGATGCTGTGGAGTGCCTAACCCTGGAGATATTCAGAACCGAGCTGGACACAGCCTTGAGTAACCTGTTCTCACTGACCCTGCTCTGGGCAGAGATTTGACCAGAGTACCTCCGGAGGTGCCAAACTACCTCAACTGGTCTCTGAGTGTGTGTGTGATTAGAAATGTTGCAGAGCACGTCATGCTCACGATTCTAAAATTGACAGCCCACATTTATTGCACAAATTCTTGATGGGGTTTTCCTCCCTTGCTTTCCATCTTCTCTTATATTTATGCACCTAGGCTGAGGTTTTTTTCTAACACTGTGTTATGGCACTAAATCGTCCCCCTGCTCATGTAAGTAGCTACTGAGTCTACAGTTAGTGCAAATGCACTAAAATGTACCCACCAGGTTGGAAGGCAGTGCTAAGCCAATAATCTGGACAGAGGGATCTTAACAGCCATGCTACAGTGAAAGTCTCTCTATATATACATAGACAAAAAGCCTTTATAACAGAGAACCCCAGTGAAGCGAGTATTATGGTAGGTTCACCATCTGCTCTAGTGCAAATTCATAGAGCTGCAAAGTGCTGCTTCCTTCTGCAAGAGCACTGGCATTGAAGCACTAACTTTCAAATATGTGTGTGTATAAACACATAAATGGTGACAGCAACAACAGGCAGGAGCTGCAGCAAACAA